GCCAGTTCTCTGTGTGGTACCCGCTTTTCCGTGCCATCACCATCCGCAGGTGAAGGGCGTGGTGTGGGGTTGGAGGCGGACGGGCCCCGACGGTGTGGAGCTGGGCTGGGTGTAGGCCTAGGCCGGGTCAGGAGCCAGGAGAAGCGGGTGTGGGGGGTGTAGGGGAGCCGTCTGGGTGGGTAGGCATGTGGAGCTGGGTTGGGTTGAATTGGATTGGAGATAGGCTTGTGTTGGGGCAGGGCTGGGGGAGATGTAGGGGATCTCTGTGGGGGGGCAGAGCTGGGGTGGACGTTGGGAAGCCTTGATCAAACTGGAGTCCCAGGAGCTGGGGTCTTGTCCCTACACCCTGAGGGGTTGTTTTGGGCAGGGCGGGCACCCCTGTGCTCTCTGCTCTCCTGGTGGGACTCTGTACTGGGGCCCAGCAGCCACATCGCTGCTGTTCCTGCTTCGTTGCTCAAAGAAGCTGAGGCTGAATGCATCTCAGACCAAGTGGCTGACATCGTGTTATTCTGTATTTCTGGAAGCTGTAGCAGTTCCTGCAGTTTCTAAGGTGCTGCTACAGGTCACAAGGTGGTTACGAGAACTACCAGTAACTCAGGAAAGTCAAGCTCAAGATTGTTGCCCTGTTGGATCAAAAAGCGCTGCTATCAAGCTTTTAGTAATCAAAACGTCTAAACTTTTATGGTTTTTAGTGTTTAGCACATGCATATTTTTGGTACATTTAGTGATAGTCCTGCATTTTTTGAACATTGAGTGGTATAGGCAAATTTTGGTTTGGATCTCGGAAGGGGAACCTTTAGTTTGAGCAACATGTTGCCTCCTCACTGGCTGTGCACACTCTGTCTTTGAATTCCTCAGAGCTTTGAAGGAGTGGGGCATTTTTATGCATTTCATTTAAAATTTTTGCTTCTTTCTCCTCTAATTCCCTGGAGGGAAAATGGACATTGCTTTTTGGTAAGGGGTGAGAGAAGAGAAAGGTAAAAGTTTTCTTTTTTTCATAGTGTTAGAGAATAAAACATACTGTTATTGAGGTATGTTCTATTAAAAAAACAAATTATCTTTATGCAACTCTTGTTATTATTTTAACAAGTAATGTTTAAAGAAATTCTCATGTCTCTTCCAGTGTTATACTTCCCCTTCCAGAGAATGTGAAAGAATATTTGCTGGACGATGGAACACTTGTGGTTTCTGGAAGGTAAAGAGTGTTTTCCCTCCATCCCCCAAGTATTAATACTATTTCATATTTACAGCACTATGCTGTATACACATATTATGTTTTGCATAGTGAGTTTTTTTAAACTTGACCAGTCTGGCTGCAGTAAATCTCATACTGTATAAATGTCTGAATGGGCCAACTGTTGCTGTTAGTACAACTTGACTTGCTGGTGCCTGATGCAGATCCTAAACTTCCATGTAATACACTTGATTCTAGACCAAGTAGGGGCACTTCTTTCATCTTTTTTTTTCTTTGCTTTTCCATGTGGAGTCTACCAGTCTCTTGGGTTTCAGTGCACGGCCTGGTTTGCGTTTGGTTGCTTTGGTATGGCTAGCTCCAGTTCGGCAGCTTGAGCTGTGCCATACCATTCACATGTCTGCAGCCTTATCTAGGGGTGAAGTGACGTTACCTGAGTTTAATTCTCAATAAGATAAGCTATATATAAAATCTTAGTAATTATTAAGTTTGTAGTATCATTTGCATGCATATAATCCATAAGGCTGAATGTCCTATATTTATACCTATACCAAAATTTCATATGGGGAACAATGAAGCGGATAGATATGAGAAACAGTTGGTAAGAACCCAGGCCTTCTTTGTTTTCTGCTGGGAATCTCGCTGTATGGCTTCCTTGTAAAATGATTATTGCACACATACATGTTAGTAATGACCAGACTCGGAAATCAGTCCACACTCCATCATTTCCTAACTGGTAGTTTGCCTCTCACATAGCAACTAATTAGACTGTGAGGATGACAGAGCTGTGTCTAATTTCTCAGGATTCAATTGATATAAAATTGAAGCTGTTTAAACATTTTGTAAAGATGAAAGGTCTTTTTTAGTTTTAAATTTTTTTTTTTATAAAAGGTATCCAGAAATAAGAATTAATTTTTAGGCCATTTTGCATAATCTTATTATTGAAGTAATATTGTTACCTGCTTCTACAGAATTGTGTAACTCATTTAGCAGCAGCCATTTATTTTTTAATAAGCCTTCAGAAAAGCTGAAACTGAGGGTTTGACTTTACAGCTATGTTATTGTCATGGTTTAGCCCCAGCCAGCAATTAAGTACCACACAGCTGCTCGCTCAGCTCCCCCTGCTCCAGTGGGATGGGGGAGAGAATTGGAAAAAAACCACATGGGTTCAGATAAAAACAGTTTAATAGGACAACAAGAGAGGAGGAAACAAGGATAACAATAATAATAATACTACTGACAAAGGAATGTACAAGAACAGGTGGTGCCCAGTGCAGCAATTGCTGCCTGCTGATTGATAGCCTGTCCCTGAGCAGCAATTCCCGCCCCCCAGCTAACTCCAGTTGATGTTCTGGGCATGACATTGTATGGTAAGGAATATCTCCTTGGCCAGTCTGGGTCAGCTGTCCCAGCCGTGCCCTCTCCCAGCTTCTTGTGCACCTCCTTACTGGCAGAGCATGGGAATCTGAAAAGTCCTTGACTTAGTCTAAGCGCTGCAACTACTTAGCCACAACTAAAAACTTCAGTGTGTTATCAACATTATTCTCACACCAACTCCAAAGCACAGAACTATAGCAGCTATCCGGAAGAAAAAACAACTCTATTCCAGCCAAAACCAGGACAGTTATACAAACAATTTCTGCTGTTTTCAATGGAATAATGGACAGCTGTATAATTGACTTTAATTATACTTTAAAAGATACTTCCAATTTAACTCCCTTTTAGAAACCAGTTTTTCTCTAAATTTAAACTTTCTTAGCTAGAAGTGAATGTGATCTTCTTGCAGTCAAGGCCAAGATCACTTTTAATCTTCAGTGAACTGGTATCTGGCCTCTGGATCTCAAAAACTGAATTGATAGTTTAGTCTCTATGGAAGTGCATTAAGGGGCTGCAGAGACTTAGCTTGTTGAAGAGTTGACTTTTGGCTAACAGCACTTAGCTGCAGGGGAATACATTTTAATTTACTCTGTTTGTTGACTTGCTGTGAAAAAGTCTTTTTCAAGAGCTTGGTCTTCTCCTTTTAAGATTGTCACATTCCATTATGTTGGCTAAAGAACTTCAAAAGTCACCTGAAACTTCAAGGGAATATTTGCAATCAAGTGCTTTCTTCCAAATGTGCTAATGTGTACAACAGCAGATCTCACCTGTGTACAAAAAGGAACTTTTCAGGAAGAATCACAGAATGATGAATGGGGTTGGAAGGGTCCTCTGAAGATCATCTGGTCCAACCCCCCTGCCGAAGCAGGAAGATGTCTATATATCCACTTTCCATAGGATCTTCTTTTCTGTGTGTGGAGTGTGAGCACATTTTCTTTTCAGAACCAGAAATTCACAGGTCAACATATGAAACTCAAGTTTTATAAATTTTTACTTGGAAAAGGAGTATGGACGCAAAGTGTAATTTAAATTGAATAGCTTTAAAAAAATTGTTTAATCTGTGCTTCTGTGAGAGTAAAGTTGAAAAAGAATGATTAATAGGGTGTTGAAAAGCTTTGATTATGGTGTTTTCAGAGCAGGAAGTGATCTGCTAATTTGAAAGAAACAAAGCGTTTTGAGTAGGGCCCAAGTGTAATGCCAGGGTGTTTGGTCTTCAATTTTCTCTACTGGCTTGCTCTGAGTTTTTTCTGCCAAGGGTTTTGAGGCTTAATCTTCTTATGAAAACATTTTGACATCAACAGCTGGTAGATGCTGTGGAAATGTAATGCATATGGTCAAATCAAACCAGAATTCTTGATTTTTTTTCTTGCTACTTTTTTGTTTTAGAGAAGATCCACCAAGTCATGCTCAGGAGGGGAGTGACGATGCAGAGGAAATACAGGTCAGTATAAAATGCAACTTAATGTCAAGTCCCTTGAGAAAAATATGAATGTGTAACCTTTTCTGCATAATTTATACGTGAGGAGAGTACTTCACAAAAATTATAATCACATGGTAGTTGCCTTGAAAAGCTTTAAAACTGTATTTATATTACGACGTCAGGGAAGGTTTAAAGTGGCTCTATCCTCTTCCACAGAAGACTTTTAATTTTTTTTTTTATTTCTTGGTAATTTAATTTGTAATAGTGAGTAGGGAATGCTGAAGGATGTCAGAATTGAACTTGATGTTGTTTCATGTCCTGAAAAACTAAAGGGAGCTATTTGGAGGAGTTATTTCAAGAAAACAGTGGAAGTTTGTGAGGCCATAATAGCTCAGAAGGGTGTTCTAGAAGAACAACGCTGAAAAATGTTGTAAGTGCAAGGTGACAGAAGGTACAAAAAGGAGATGAAAAAGAAATATAAGTGAAACTAATGGATCATGGGTCTAAGGATGGAATTGCTGGGGCTGGAGACAAGCTTTAGACAGAGAGGACTCTGAGTTCTGAAATGTCCGAGTTTGTGATATAAAACACAATTAAAACATATAGGTGTCATCTTTTATCCATACTTTAGAATAGTACTTCTGCTGAATATACAGTATATTTCCTGTCTTAGTTTACAGCTGTAATAATTTGAGGAGGATGATGTTATGCTACAGGAGCTCCAGGGCAATGATTTGATCTACGTGTTGTAGGAAGCTGTATGAATTCTAATGTTCTCATAAATTATGAAGGATGTCTTGGGAAATCAGTGACTTCTGATTTGTTCTTTTTTTTAACAGTGGTCGGATGATGAGAATACTACAACACTTAAGGTAAGGTCCTGTAAAAGCCTAATATGAGGGCTTGTTAGCAGTATCCTTTCTGCAACCTTGTGATATAAACTTGTTGCCAGTTGCTGTATTTAACATTTTTCAGACCAATCTGGACGGATGGCAGTGTAGATGTCTGTAACTTTAAGGTTTTGCTGGCTTAATTTTATTTAACTAAAAATAAATTGCTTTTCTTCATCCCCAACAGTCACACACTTGTTAGACTATAGGAAATGAACTGAAGTATGGCTCTAAATATAGCTGTCTCTCATTTTCACCACTTCGAATATCTCCCAATTACTTAATCATACTGGCTGCAGAAGAAACGAAGCACCTGCAGCTCAATTTTCACAGCTCTTCTCTTACACCTTTGCCATTATTTCCTCCAACGTACATTTCTTTCTATCATCTTTTTTTTAATTCTTTTTCTGTTTTTATACTCTCCTTGCACTGTGCTTGTTTTAGAACAGGATCATGATGGACATGAACCAGGCTTCCTTGGTTTTTTTTTTTTTTAAGATCTTTTTTGAAACCTTAGAACAGGATCATGATGGACACGAACCAGGCTTCCTTGTTTTTTTTTTTTTTAAGATCTTTTTTGAAACTTGCTGTTGCCCTATCATTGTCAGGGTTAATACACTTGTGCTTTGTCTGCCATTGATACTCTTACTTCAGTCCTGTTAGCTCCCTAATGTTCAACCTAGTGTTGAATTGCTTACATTAGGTTAGGTGCAATATAAACACAGCCCCTGCTTTGAGTTGCAGATGTGCTGGCACAGGATTTATAGCCTAGATTTTAAAACTAATACATGCCAAATTTGCACACATCAATAGCATCGGTTCAGATATCTAAGCTTTGATAAAGTAGATGCCTTAGATTGTAAATTGTTCAGAACAGGGATTTTGGTATCCGTCTCTTGCGAAGCTCATGTTAATGTAGCTAAACAAATAATATCAGACTTTTGAATCAGGTTGTGTACAACGCAATAAGGAAGTGCATAATCAAGAGGTATGATACCCATCAGAAAGGTATAGGCCAAGTGATTTCAGTTTAGCTGGGTGAGAATTGTGTACTCTGTAGGGAATTGCAGCTTTACAGCTAACGTTTTACTGGGGCTGGCTGGGATGCAGTTAAGTTTCAGCTGTTGCTGAACAGTGCATGCATAGTGTCAAGGCTTTCTCTTTTCCCAGTCTGCCCCATGTCCCTCCTCGGTGACCAGGCTAGGGATAGGCAAGAGAAGGAGAGAGGGACAAAGCCAGGACAGCTGACCCAGATTGTTTTAAGGGATATTCTGTACCATATACATCTTGCTCAGCAATAAAAGCTGAAGAGGAGAGGTCTTTTGGCCTCCAAGGTGGCTATTGTGCGGAGACTGGCAGGGCTTTGTCTTTTGCCAAACCTGGAACTTTGAAAGTGGTTAATAATGAACATGGTTTGTGCCTATGGCTAGTTCCTACAAAAATACACCTCCATATGGTCAAAGAAAGAGTCTGTAAAAGTAGAATTTCACAATGTGCTCTTTACCATCTTCTAAATTTGGTAGATGATTGCACTGAGGACTCCATCCATGGCAAATGCGCTTTTTTTACCTGAAAACTGGGGGGTCCTCTGAAGCCACTGAGTGAATGGAAATAGTATTCTGTGCTTTCAAGTGTTGCCTGTTGCCGCTTTGACAGTGATGGAGAGAGTGAAGAAGCAGCCTGTGTAGAATGCAGAAGGATGGGGAGCTGCACCTGGAGCTACCATGAGAGATAAGAATGGATTAAGTAGCGATGTGGAAGCTGAGCAGGGAGACACTAGGGAACGTAATGTCTAAAGAATAGTGGGACAGGCTGGAGACTGCTGTTCTGCATTCTCGGTCAGCCTGAGGCATTTGTATTTTACTGACAATAAATCCCAGGTTATAATTCTCTATTGGTTTCTTGTCTCAGGGAGCAGTAATGTTTGAAGTTCAGTCTAGGTCACTGCGCTAAAAAGTGAGGGGTTTTTTTTAAGTGTCTGCATTTCAGGGGGCTGCAGAAAGGAGATGCCATAATGTATAAAGTTTGTTTGATCACTTGTGTGGCTGTGAGGACTTTGTTTTAGAGACATCAGTTAGCTCTAGTCTAGAAGCTCTTTGAGTTGAGTTTAAAAATATTCAAGCAGAAATAGTGTTCTTATATACTTTTTGCTGTAAATCCTATTACGTGGAAAATCCTTGACATATGTCTGAAATCCTTTCATACTATTTTAAATCTGTTTGATTAAATTTGTGGGTTTTTTTCCTGTTGTACCACAGTCAGAGTGGAGTTTATAGCATCCTGTTTTTTTTCTCTATTTTATGTTTGCAATATTGACAATGTTCTTTACAAGATAAGGTTTCCTAGTCCAACCCATACCTTTGCAGTGTGTCCTCTATTTTGATGCAATATATTGTTAAGGAGCTAGTTTAAGACCTAATTTAAGAGCTGATTACTTAAAGTATTACTAACAACATTTTGTAAAACTAAAGCTTAAATGAGGAGCTGTCACTCAAATTGCCTATTAATTGATTTATTTACTTTTACTTTCTTATTGTACTCTTAAATGCAACTAGAGAACTGTTAAAAAACAGAGCTGATCTCTTTCTACCTTTCAGTACTTTGACAGAATGCTACAGTATTTGTATTTTAGATTTGTTAAGGAGATGTTTCATTCTAAAGAAACTATTTTTGAAAGTTTGTTTGTTTTTAAATCTTCTCAGATCTTATTTGTATACAATAATCTACCATCAGGTATAAAACAAAAGTATGTATTTAAGGTTTGTCTATTTGACTTGCACGTTTACCAGCTGTTGCAGCTTTCATAATGAACGTTATGAAATTTCAGGTTTTCTGCTGAAGTTCATGGAAGCTTGCTAGTAATGAGAGTGAGAACTGGAAACATATTTTCAATTTTCTCTGAAAGAATGTTGGAGTTGATTCTTAAGCGACTTCTGTCTACAAATGCATTATTTTTGTGGGGTCTTGGTTCCTGATTTTTGGACAAGTGTATTCCTTCTGCAATATGTATTTCTAATGGTATTTAGAAGATGGCTGCACTTTGCCATTAAATGCATTGAAATTGATATTTTTGTTGTTGTTGTTCTATGTTCAGGCACCAGAATTTCCTGAGTTTACAGCTAAAGTTCAAGAAGCAATAAGCTCCTTGGGTGGTAGTGTTTTTCCTAAACTTAACTGGAGTGCTCCAAGGGTAAGAATGCTGACTCCCAAAACTTATAACGGATGTTATCGTAAGAATTTTTTTTTTTGTTTTATCTTAATGCAATGGGAAGTAGAAGACACTAGTGGTTCTGATAAAGGAAGAAGTGATAGACAAGATACAGCAACTTGTTCTGGTGGATTAGAGCTAGATGGTGCACTGTTTGGTGAGGCTGATGCAAGACAGCACTGTCTTTCTTACACAGAACCCCGTATCCTTGTCACAGATAACAGTATGATGGTGAGACTCTTCTCATTTAGGATACTAGCTGAAAACCAGTTGCCTGGGATAAAGATAAAAACGTCATGTTTCTTGAAAAAGCCATAAACTTCCCTCTAGTTATTTTTAGGTACTTAATGTTCAGGATGGGTGCACCCAAATGTTTTTGTATCATATTTTCAAGGGAAACTTGTGTTCAATCAGGCCTTCCAGGAAAGTGCCTGGAAGCAGTAAGGCAAAAACAGTTTTTTTAAATGGATTTGTTCTGCTTTCAACAGAGTATTTGTAAGAAAAGCAATAACTATTGTGTCTCTTGTTGAAGTTTTCCTCAAAATAAAAAAATAATTTTCTGCATGTATTTCAAATGTTGCATAATATTTAGTGCCGATAGATCTACAGCGTACACTTCTTCCTGCTAGTAAAGGTGCATTTTCGGATAATCTTTTTTGTTTAGGATGCCTACTGGATAGCAATGAACAGCTCTCTGAAATGTAAAGCTCTCAGTGACATCTTCCTCCTTTTCAAGAGTTCAGACTTCATTACTCGTGACCTCACTCAACCGTAAGTAGATTTCTAGGAGACAATCTTATTTATACTCAGTCAAAAAAAAAAGACCAAACCTCTGAAGGTAGCTTTTAAGTTCTTTTGAAATGATAAATATCTGATACGAAAATACATATTCATGTTTAGAAGTTGTTCAGGTACAGTAATAGAAGCTTCAGGTACAGGAATAAGTTAGTTGTTCTTTGAAGCTCCTCCACCCCTTCCCTCCTTCTTTGTCTCCCTCCACCATGCAAAAATAAATGCCAGCTCCAATTTAGTGCAGAGAATTGTGAGGCAAATTATCTTCATTGTTACTTACTGTGAGTGAGTCTTTCCTAGTAAACCAGAATTGTTTACCTCACTTCAGTCAACTAGAGAGGAGCAGCCTCCATTTATTTCTTATAGTAAGTCTTTTGCTTTTAATATGCAAATGAGTGGGGGAAAAAGGAAGACATATTGAAGTGGTACATGCAAAATGATGCTCCGGATTAAGACCATTTTTATGGAGTTGCTTTCAAGGTGATATTTTAATCTTGGGGGTTTTTTTGCCTTCCCACCCTTGTTGGCATTTCCTATTCACTATCTACCTTATTGTTGCCACTTCTCATGGTAATACAGCATGACTTTACCATGTCCCTTTCAAATTTTAAAGCTGTTGAAGTTTGTGTGGCTGCATTGGAAGATGCCTGAGACTTCTGCTAATGTATTCCTAAAGCTCATTCTGAACCTAAGTTCTTGTAGCTCTTGAAGAAATGCACTGCAGGAGCTGTGACTAGGGATAGTAGTTACAGATAAAATTACAAATACGGTGTGCTTGGGGTTTATTTCGTCTGCTCACATGAAGAGAGTGCTTAATTATAGAGGAACAGTTTCCTCCTGTAGTACCTGCATCTGATTAATGTCACTCATTTCTAAAACACAGCATTTTTCTGAAAGAAAATTACTGGAATTTAATGTTCTTGTTTCTATTATTACTATTATTTTTTTCAGAAAAGCAGAATTTCGAAGAAAAAGGGAAATCCATGGCTTGGAATGTGTGAGATTGCTTTCCAGTAATTATTCAGTGCTTATTTATTAGGAGACCCAGTCAAATGCAGGGCACTTGTTCTAGGTGCTTTATAGAGGGTTACCAAGCATAGTAGCCTTGTGTTAAGTAGCTTATGACCCGATAAGAATTGTCTTGTCTAAAATGTGAAACCAGTTGCATTAATGCTGTGCAACTGCCTTCTTCTTTTTATTGCTGTGACTGATGAACGCTCTCTTCCCCCAGTTTGTTGGTACATTAAAAAAATTACAGGTAGCAGCATCCTTATCCTTGTCTCTGCATTTATGGAGCGTTAGCAGCACTGTCAGTCCAATTCTGATGCTAGGCTTTACCTTATGGGTAACCTACAATATTATGAAGTGCAGGACAAGAGACTGAGAAGGAGGGGAGATGATGCTGGAGTGAGAAGACAGTTTAAAAAGTATGTCGGACTAGGGAAGCAACTGTGAGCATTGAGAATTTGTGATTCTGGGATCATAGAGAATGAAAGTGTTGGGGGAGATGAGAAATCTATAGTTCACATTTCAGAGGTGAGTCAATAGTGATTCTCAGGAGACTTTGGTGCCTTACTAAGGAGTTTTTTTTCATGGTTTTCCCCTAATGGGAGGCTAAGGGACTGGGCCAGGTGTCTCGAGGACGGTTCAGTGTTCAATGGGCTGAACACTAAAATTTAGTTTGTCCTTTGTTGTAACCTTCTTTCAGGACTGACTTGTGGATCCGAAAAGAACTGTACACTTTTTATCAAGCCCTTTGTGAACTTTAAATAATGCATTTTTTGTATTCTACTATCCTCATGTATAAAGAGGTTCAGCAAAAAGTACCCTGAGCTCCTTAGAGAATTCCTGTTTGGTTAATCGCTTTTAAGTGAGTTTGGGACACAATTAAGTGTTTAGTAAGCACCACTTGACATAGAAGACGTGGCAAACCTGTGTGTGTGTTTATGCCATTTGTATGGTAGAATGAGTTGGTTCAACCACCTTCACTGAGGCTGGAATCGGTGCATTTTGGTCAGGTTTTTATATCGTATCAGGTAAAGTTACTGCCTCAGCTGTTCACCTTGCCCTCTGCAGGCAGTGCTGACTTACTGGTAGAGACAATGAACGCACTCTGGCTCCTGTGTTGTGAGATTTCACAGCATGGGTGTTAACTTGAACCATCAGTAATTTCACCTTAAGTTCACACCAGGCTAAGAACAGTAGTGGCTGTGCAGCCTGAAGATCTTTACTGATCCTGCTGTCAGGGAATAACCTCTAGCAGAAAGATAACACCTCAAATTGCAATAGTCCAATCCATTTAGACTCTCTTTCCAGTATGGTAAGACCGCACGCACCGCCAGATAGTACAGCTCAGTGAGTGGGTGGTAAATAAGCCAACCTTGCGACATGACTGGGGGATCGTCACCTAATGTAAAGGTTAAGGTGCAGTTTTATTTGAGAAGTGTTGTATTTATTTCCCTTTCTATAAAATTTATCTAGTGTTGGTATAAATTTGGGTTATGGGTGGGTGGTTTTTTTTTTTTTTCCCAGAACAGGCTTTGTTGTTTTAGCAAGGTAGAGTTAATACAGGCAGTGCAGTCTTGGAGTTTCCATGAATTTGAATGGAAATTGTAGTTACGACTAGGGGAATGTGTGTAATGTGTAAAATCACTTAGGTCTCTATGTATATTTTAGGAATATGTTATACTTGATAAAAGCACATGTTATTATCCAGTCTGTACATGGTATTTCTAAACTGCTAAGTTATTTGTACAAAATGTCCCCATCCAAACAGTGAAATGATTATTGCTGAATCAGAATGGTGGTCTTCCTTAATTATACTATTGATTAGCTGCCAGTTCCCTAGTCCTTAGCAAGCAGAAATTAAAAATGTAGCTAGCATAAGAACCTGAACTGCTGAACAAACGGAAGTTGGATACATAATACAGCCAAATCCCGTGGACTGACTAATCAGAGGGAGAAGGGATAAATGCACTGTGTTTCTGCTTCTTTCATTAATACTTGGTATGGTCTAGAAGTTTCTTGCCCTGCATAAGTAACAGCTGAAATGTTGTATACCCTTTTTTTGTTTTGTTTTGGATTTTTTCTTCAACTGTATTAACTTAAAAATCCACTTCATGGGTCATAATATGGAAAAGATTTTGCAATGGCAATTTGAAGATCTGTTTCTTAATCCAGCTTTGCCAGTGATGTGGGACTTAAGGCACACCACTTTCTTTGCTTCCTCCTTCCTCTGTCATTTCCTATCTACTTATCTGGTATCCATACATTGTTCAAGTCAGGAAACTGCCCTTGCTGTAATTCGCAACTGTCTCAAGTTCCAGGAGAACTTCAGCTATGCGATACTTCAGTACAAACCATTAAAAAATATGGCCTCAATGCAAATATACTGAGCATGACTAGATAAGCTTTGACTATTTTAAATGTTTGGATTCTCTCATGATGTTGACACTGTTTGGTTGAAAAGTTCAGAATAATGACTTAACTTTGCTCCTTATTAATTTTTTATAAATGAACAAAGTCTTTAAAGCGACACACTTGTTAATGTAGTCAATGTTGTTTCTGCTTCAAAGCAAGCATTGCATTTTACTTAGCTGAGTTCACAAAAAACTTGTGGGTGGTGTGATCCTTAACTTCTCAGGTTTTAAAAACTTAGTGTTGTGGATATGTGATAAAAAACTATTCCATTTCTAATTGGGATTTTTGTTAAATGATTCAAACTTGTCTTTTGAACAAAAATCCTTTTAAAGTCCTGTTAGTGTATTGGATTAGAACACAGTTTTCTTCCTTATTTTTAGAATGTGTGGACTACATTCTGTTAAGACATGATTGCTCACCTTCAGACTGGTCTAAATATTAGCAATAGTTCTAATGATGTGATAATGCCCTTTCAATTTTAAGATAAGTATGTTATATCATGCTCATTAATAAACCTTGGAAATTTTGTTAAACTTCAGAGATTGTTCCTGTTAAATCTGCAGATCCTGCTGTTGGGATTTTGAATGCTAAAATGTTCTTATTTTTCCAGTTGTTTAATAATCACAACCATAGAGGTCAAATAAGAAGTCCTGTAAGTTCAGCCTGGTTGAAAAGCAACCTAATGCAGAGAACATCTTTTGCAGGGATTGCCCTTTAACTTCTTACAGAGGGGCAGTATGACTTGAGTGCAGGAACGGAGGTTTTCTGATGTGCACTTAAGTGTTGTAAATTGACTCTCGGTATTTTATTGGACCAGCTGATGCTATGGACCTGTGACTTCCAGAAGTTCATTCCTGAAAACTTTTTGAGAAGCTGGTTAAGACAGGTGATTACTTCACCTAAAGTCTAGGGTCTAAAAGTAGCCACTCAGTGCTGCCTAAGCCCAGGAAACAGAGTGAAGGGACCTTCTATGCCACATTTAGTAGGTAAGAAATATCTATTGGGTTAACAGAGCAGGTGAAACACCTCCCACTGGGCCAAGGAAAAGTTTCCAAATGTATTAATGTGCAAGATACAAAGGAACATGAGGGGAGATGCAATTTTTTAATTTAGGTGTTTATAAGAGGGCTTGGTTAAAATTTAAGTGCCTGTTTCTGAGAGAAATTGAGAAAGTCTGCTCTTGAGTGAGGGTTAGCCCATCAGGCTCCTAAGCACGTTGTTTAACTTCAAAACCTAGCAGATGTTTTTTTGTTTTTAAGCTGGCATTCTGACTACATTTTTGATACCAGACTTAATGCTTCTAAATACTGAATTACAAATGATAAAGATAATGTAAAGTTTTTCTGAGATGTGGAGGAACAACAGCTGGTTGTTCCTAAAAGAACAGCAGCCTGTTGTTCCTGCTCCTAAAAGAACACAGGAGGCACTGTTGGCTCATAAAGATGTGACTTGGCACCCGGGATGCCTTTTTTGCAGGAATAGTAGCTGTTGGTTTAGACTTTGGTGTAGCCTATTTGAGATAAGCAGTTCCACATGAGAGGATGTGGAAAATGAGAGCTTTGATTTTTTTTTTTTTTCTTGAGGTTTTACTCGAATCTCCGTTTTTTCTAGCAATTTAGTATAAGATCCTCTTTTGAATAGTGCATGAATTTCCTATTTCTTTTAGTCCTTAAAGTTCCAGCAAAGTTCAATATTCAAGAAATAAAGGTGCAGTTCAAAAGCTGTTAGAAGTTTCTTCTTGGTATTTTTTTTAATTAAGGTTTTAAAATAAACTATGAGGTGATAGCAGAGGAACTGTCAGGTACAGAATAACTTTTACAATTCTCATTATATTCATAATAGGTTATTATCCACAGAATAATGTCAGTGATTTGCAAATGAGATCCCTGTCTCTCTTAGCAGGATAGGTACTGGAGGTCTTACAAATCTCCTTATAAATTGCTTTTCTCAATGTTGAAAACTGAACCATGTAATGGCTTCATGTAGTGTGTCCTGTTGTCAGGTATGTGAATTTGGAGATTAACATAGAGCTGCTACATACAAAGAGACCTTGATCCTTCTCTTGTTGGTGTGTTAAGTATAAATCTGTAAACAAGCTGTTGACCACAGCACAGGCCTATAAGCAGCAGAGTTTAATTCCTTCACCCTTAGTAGTATTCAAAATGACAATTTTCAAAGGTTTCAGACAAGAGAGCCCAGATATCTCTCAGTTTTGGGTTCCTGAAGTCTTTCTGAATGTTCTTTCAAGTACCTCCAAACCTGAACAGGATGCAGATTAAAGCAGCCCTGCTTAGCCTTCTGCCTCTCATATTCAAAAGGCCATATGTAGTGGACAAATTCAGCTGGTTCCGAACTACTAACGCTACAGTAAGTTTGTAAAAAATATAAAATTGTAACTGCCTCAAGTTACCCAACATTTACCCCTCAAAAGGGGGTGGTAGTAACGTCTTTTTGTTGACAAAAACTCATTATAGTATTTAGAAGGAAAATGAGACTACAAAAACCTGAGTTTATTTTGTCTTTTGCTGCATTCTTCCATTTTTTCCTCATTTGTACTCAGTCCTGTGTCATTAAGGCCCAAGAAAAACATTGTTGCATCTTTCAGTATTTTCCTCCATATTCATCATTTTGCCTGTTTGCTTGATGTGGCAGCAATACCTGGGCAGTCTGTGTAGCTTGGGGTGGCACCCAAGGATTTCATTTTCTGACTTGCAAGGAAAGAGGAAATAACTTTCCCCACATAGCTCTCACCCAAAATATTTGAGGATTGAGCAGGGAATAGTTTTGATTGTTCATAAAGCTGTTTTTTGACTACTGGGAAAGACTGCATCTTACTGGAATGAAGCAGACTGCAGGTATCCCAATCTCTGATACGGAAGTCTGTGAGAGGTAATACAGGTTGTAGTGTGCAGGGACTGTAAAACTCCATGTGCTGGCTGCCTCTTAATGTGGAGTTTGTGATGGGTTTTGTGTGTGTGATATTTTCTTGAGCATGGTAGGCATGTATGCTAGTAAGGGAGGAATTTTGAGTGTAGCACAACTGCAAGCTCTCATGAGTTTGTTTCTGTTGCCTTGCCAGATCTTAAATTGCAGGGAATGTAAACTGTAGTTGAAGGATGTTATATGTTTACATAGGCTTACAGATATATATGATCTGTTTGATTACAGTACTTTTGGAAGGCATGCCTGCTATCGCCCTTCTTCTCTACGTGTAGTGGATATTAAAGTCTAAACTAAAATGTGTGAAATTTATTTCTGCTGGCAGCGTGCTGAATGAACTTTTACGATAGCTCCTTGCTTCAAACTGAAGGCTGGGCAGCCATTTCTTACAAATGCAATGCTTATGCTAGAGATGTTAGACTTTTGGATTGCTTAACCAAGTTCAGTGCCAAAGAGAGATAGTATAAATGTTGCCATTTAAGACTATTGCTTAGCAGGGACCCTTTACACAGTTCTGTGCATCAAAGTAATTTGTTGCCAGTAAGGTCAGGGAGTACACTTGGAAGGAAAATGCATGTTCTTTTGTGAATTCCCTTTGAAAGTTACAGGATTTATTGCAAGGTCTGCTGTAAAATGACAAAAAGGTACATAGAAGTTGCCTTGAGTATAACTGCCTCCATTCTTGATAGTTCCTGAAAGGTGATGCACAGAGTCAGCTACTCACAAGGGACAAAACCTTGACATCTACTTGCAGTTACGGAAATAGTTTTCTTTATTCCCAGTCTCAGGAGATTTGTAAGAGTATTTCTTGAGGCTCTTAATTTGGAAAGATACCATGCTGTGGAATCAGAAGTGCTGAGTGGTGCTGTTTTGCATCCCTTATTCTTGGAAACGAGCTGCTGTAAGGCATGATGATGTCTCTCTTGTGTGGTTTAGGAAGTTAAACATTAAAAGTACTAGGGAAAACATGCTGCAATGAAACTAGATTAGATTGCTCAAATTTATCTGGTTCTTTTGAGAATCGTTATGCCAACACAACAAGAAAGAGGAAAGGAGCAGCACTGTTGATTCAAACAAAAAAACCCCTCAGCAATAAAGAAACACATTTTATCCACGTCCCTGTCCAAATTTAAGTGCTTCCAAATGATGATTTTCACTAGATGAAAAGAAGTAATTCCCCCCCCCACCCCAATAATTGTTGAAAGGAGGTTTGTTATTGATGTATTGAATTTACTTGGTTTCTATATCTTGGAGATAATTTAACAGTAGCTTTTGTGATTCACTGTTTGGGGGTATTTTTCTAACTATAGCTAAAATCTTATATGTAAAAGCAGATTTTGATGCCAGTGCCTTACTTTTCCAGATTTATTCACTGTACTGATGATTCCCCAGATCCTTCCTTGGACTACGAGGTAAGACTCTTTGAATGATTTCTAGGTAATTTAAGTGAATTGCTCACGGGCAGACTGCCATTTGTGCTTGGGTATGTGCCCATAAACTTTGTTTTGTTTGTTTTAGTTGTGTTGCTTGGGCAGCGTGGGGAAGTCTGGTTAAGCGCTACAGGTCCTAAGGAGTTCATTTAATTACAGATCACAGATGAGCTGAAGTTTGGACTTTTGAAGCTTCCTTGCAGTTTTTGCTAGTGTCTGGCAGGTTTTTGCCAGGAAGGACAAGTTCAGTAGCTGAAAGTCATATATTGTTGACAGTATGCTGCTTGTGACTATCACAACTGAGGTTACTAAGAGAGAAGCTAGCTGTAGTGGCTGGGGACATCCTGAACTGAAGTGCTGTATCATATCTTGTTTCATATGCTCATTACCAGATTAAAACGTTAAGTTAGCAACGTAGATATTAACAGTGCTATAAAGTGTTCATGTGGTGCTGTCGCTTTTATGATATTATCTAGTCATGTTTCAGTAATTTTTATGAAAATATAGCATTTGTCATCATCCTGTGGGCTTGAATTAAAATTTTCACTTTTTAGAAAAGTGAATGAACCCTGGTTTTGTTTTTTAATAAAGCACTACCTTAAATGTGCTTTAAAAATACAGGACATCTGAAAGTTGAAGCAGAGTTTCATGTTTACGCTGTAGTTAGGAACCTTTGATTATGGAGGTTTTTCACTGCAGCTGATAGGTGTTGGGAGTTTCCAGTACCTATGAGCAGTAATTTAGGCCCTCAAAATAATGGATCTATCTGAAAGCATCAGTTTAGGTAATGCAGAGACTGGAGAAAGTGCCAATGATCTGCTTTAATTACCAGGTAGTCTGTCCTATCGACTGTAATAGTTTGGTTACTATTTCTGTCCCATGTCCTTACTTTAACTGGTTTGTGCCTTCAAAGGCGTTACAGAATTCTGCTTGGGTGTATACCAGAATCAAGGTTGTTTTGGTTAAATTTAATTCTGCTCATCAGCTCTTTTGACTAGGGAGCAACTTTCTGCCAATTCCATGACAGATTTGTTGCATTGTACAGCAGGATTTTTTTGTTTTCCATGCTTTATCATGAGTGTAACTTTGAAGTTGTTTCATAAATAATTTCACAGTTATGATCTTCCACTTTGTATGGAATTTATAAGATACTTAAGATGGGAAGGGGCCTCAGGAGGTCTCTAGTCCATCCTCATGCTCAAAGCCAGGTAAAGCGATGAGATCAAATTGGATTGCTTGGCATTTTATCAAATCCAGTCTGAAAACCTCAATGGATGGAGGCTACACAACCTCTGAGGGAGCTGTTCCAATGCTTGACAGTTCTCACTGGTGGAAAAAAAAAGTGTCCAGTCTGAACCTGTCTCCTTTAAACTAGTTTGGACTAGATGGTCTTTAAAGGTGCCTTCTGACCAAAACCATTCTGTGATTCCATGAAATTAATATTAAGTCTAATTGCTTTAAAGTATTTGCTGAGATGATTATGTGAACTGCAGATTAAGATTGTTTGGTTTTCTTGTATCAAGAGTAACTTCAGAGGTTATCATACCACTATAGCAAAACTGTAGAAGGTATACCCATTGACAAAAAGTTACCTGTTACCTTTCTGAAACAATACTTTGTCATTTGTTTTTCCTCTATAGCTTGTTCTTCGCAAATGGTGTGAACTAATCCCTGGTGCAGAATTCAGATGCTTTGTCAAGGAGAACAAGCTTATAGGTGAGGATTTTCATAAAGATAAAATTAGGTGCAATTCTGAGCAGTTTCCGATTCCTTGAATCGCCATTAAATATGAAGACAGTTCTTTCTTAACACACCTTCTTTCTGGAATAAACGTTTTCTTCTTCTGTCTGTAATTTAGAATGTGGCATGCCATGTTTATCTTTCCACTGTTTTTGAAAGCCTGACGACTCAGCATGCTCAATATTACAGTGGGAATATTCTTAATTCTAATTGCAAATTCAGAAACTTCACCCAAATGCTGTTGTTCTGTAAGTGATTCTTTTATATTCGGGAGTGAATTGTGTCATCTCTAAGTTGCAGAATGAATACAGAGGCAGTTGGGTATTATGCTGATAAATCGTGACCACATGTGGATGTTATATGCAGAAAGTTGGGGAGGTCAGAACATGCCCACAGGTGTACAAGGAGTGTGAGTTCATATTATGTTCAGTGTAGCTTAGTCAGAAAACCTGTTGATCTGTTACTCTGGTTCAAAGTCCTAAATGTAAAACGTTTCAAGTGGCAATGAACAGCTAGGGTATCTGCAGCATGCCATGAACTGGTGGGTGCGTTGGGAGACCTGTGACAGCTGGAGGACAGGCAGATTGTGCTAGAGTGTGTATCTTAGGCAGCTCTAGGGTAAATTTAGCTGAATTGTACTCCTCTGGATATATTGACTATTCGCTGCTGACTATAACAAGAACTTGGGCATCTCGTGCACATGCAGGTGCTTGAATTGAGGGGTTTAATTTCAAACTAAATACTATTCTGGAGTATGAATTTGGTTTTGGTGTGGTCTACCATGGAATCTTTAAAGATGAACAGAAATGTAAATAGCACAGGACTGGTGCACAGTTGTCCTTAACAAGGTTGAATCATTCTGCCTAAACTCTTCTCTAACAAGGAAATGTTATAGCAGTGACCTAGCAAAGCTCTAATCCAGACTTTATAGGAGGGAAGGTGATTTTTTGCTTTAAAATAAAACCAAGTTTGCTCATTTTGTCTGTCCAATACCTACATATTGGCAAGCACCAAGATGCATATATACAAGTGGTCTGTCCAGGATTCCTTGTGATGATAGGGGAGTGAAGGGATATCAGCTATCTAATCGTCATTGTTTCTTCTGGCTGCTTCTCAGCACAGTGACTGTGTGCTTGTTTAGGATGTGCCTTTTTGTACCTGTTAGGAGCTGTCAGCAGTTTGTCTCTCTATCCTGTCCCACCTCTGTGAATCATTAGGAACGTACTCCCTGTTCTTTGTTTCCTGATCTGGGTGTCCTGTGGAGCTGCAGATAGATGCTTTGGGATGTGCTAATCTAGGTGCTGTCAACACATACCATTCTCACAGGCCTCTTATTTGGCTGTTCCTTATGGTGCTTCTACACTCATTGTTCCATTCTCTGTCCATTCTCACCAATCGCAGGGTTTATTACAGTTCCCTGTAACACAGTTTGCCTTGCTAATAGCAGAGATTCTTCATTAAGCGGGTATTGCTTGGTGGTTACTCACATAGCTTTTTGAAGGGGGAAGAGCTGAATCCTGTCCTGTTGTGTGCTGCTGGAACACCACAACTGCCAGAGATATGCATCACTATAATAACCTCTAAAACATTTGAATGTAGATTTATTGTAGAATATATTTATAAAGTGATATTTAATTTCAAATACCTCAAAGCATTTGTATGCTGGCTAATTAATCACTCTGTGCATTTCATTACTAGGTTTTGAAACCTAGTAGATCTACCAGTATAGTTTTTTTTAGCTAGCACTCCAGCTGCATTTCTGAAGACAGTTCCAAGATTTTTCGCAATATATTCCCATGCTCTTAAAATTAATAAGCCTATCAGTCGAACTAAGGAGTGATACTTACACTGTGTAGTGAATGATTTTCCAGTTACTCATCTGCATCCCCTGAGATGCCACCATCTCTTGGTTTTTGTTTTTAGATCTGAGTTAAGCTTTGCAGTGGTATTAATAATTCAAAGTTCCACTGACATCATAAACTTTATATGAACTTTTTTTAAAGAACACATCTTTGGAGTAGATAGCATTGTCTTATAGTGAAACTTGATATCTCTGTTTTGTATATGGGTAAAATAGCAAACTGACATGACTGCATCTTTCTTGGGGCATTCTGGCTTTTTCTTCCCCTAAACAGCATGAGTTAGTCATTGTGCATTGATGGGGCAGGTCTTGATTTGACATTTGTCTAGCAGGGTGTTGCAGTGGCTTATGTTGACATATCCTGTAGGAGAACTTCTGCCAACTAAGATGCATGCAAATATATAATCCTGTTGATGTCAGCTTAAACTGTTGTCTTGTAGACTGAGAAAAGTCTGAAATTAAGAGCTTGTGGTGTATCTGGGATAGTTTATCTAATGTCAGATATGCAAGAAGGCCCTCAAGGGGGGTGAATGGGAGAAATAAGGTGCTAGGCTGCATGCCATCTCATTGATTTTAGGATTTAAGGTTTCACCTGTGGTACCTTATCAAACAGGTATGCTTTATTCCACACTTAATAAACTGGTTAAATGAACATCTTTATGGTACGCTAGGATCTATCATCTTTGCTGATGTGTGAGCCTGGCCTCTACCGCTCTCAATTTTATGGTTCTAAAGTCTGGTCCCTACATCCGATGTGCAGAACAGAGAAGGTTTTTGACCAGAAACCTTCTGGGAATAAAACTGAAAGGAAAAGACAAGAACTGGCAACTTAAACTCAGGCAAAGATTCCTCCTGAAATTCACTTAAAAATAGTCAAAGCATGTACATATAAAATGAGGTTCACATAATGTAGGGCAGACTGTTCAAGGAAAAAATTCCGCATAGAAGGGAACTTTTAAGTATTGGAGAATAAAGCCAAACAGTAAGTAATTCTTAATGGTTGAAATTTCGGAGAACCCCATCTTCTGAAATATAGATGATAACATGCATGTCTCTGATAGCTGCATTTTGTCTGGTTGGCTTTTTTGTATGCCTAAAGCTCTTTATAATCAACTAAAATTATTGACAGGTGTATCACAGAGGGACTACACTCAATACTATGATCATATCTCCAAGCAACATGAGGAGATCTGTAGATCAATACAAGAGTTTTTCAGGAAACACATACAGTATAAATTCTTGGATGAAGACTGTAAGTATCTTATGGCTTCAATTAGCAAGGGGAGCATGGGACAGGGAAGGAGGGTGTTTATGAAGGTTCTTAAATACTTATTGCACGTGTAGTTAGAAAGACTTAAAAATGGAAATGAGGGGTCTGCCTCTCTGAAGTTCTTTTGCAGGGTACTGGGAGGTTTGAAATTGAAAGGGCTTGCAGGGCCAACTCCGCAGAAGTCAGATGTCCTCCTGCTGCCTTGCTGAGCCAGGCTCATTTCCTTCACAGCACACTGAGTTGCAATGTGCCAAATGCCAGCTTACTGCTGGAGATCAGTGGAAAAATGGGTACTTCTCGGTAAATAATGGCATTCCTGATATTTTAAGGCTGTGGATATGCATCTCTCTTCATAGCTATTGCTTTCAGAGGGCTTGGTTCTTCTTAACTTGGGAGAGTTTTTTATAACTCCTGTAGCTAATGCATGCTGAGCAATGTACTTCTTGAAACAAAAAAAAAAAACACCCTGCAGGAATAGCCTGGTGCTTTTCAGGAAAACACAACAAATGAGTGAAGGATCCCTTCAGAAGGCATAATAACTTTTTTAAAGTCTTTTTTCCCCTTATACTTGTTTTTAATTAAGAAAAGTTCTAAATCTGAGTAGTGAGATAGGAAACACTTAACAAAAGACATTCAGTAGTAAGAATAATACTTGTTTATAAAGGTGTTGTCAAATGTTTGCTGCTAAATAATTGATGTATTCCTTGAAGAATGAATTTGTAAGTTTCTTTTCAAGAATTTATAATAATTTCTCCTAGAATATTGATGCACAGTACTTTAGCTGCTGAAACTTTTGAATAAAAGCCATGGTATGTGATACACTTAGGCAGACCAAGTAAATTGTCCCTTTAAATGTGCAGTCCTTTGCAAATTTTATTGGAAATAGTTTCCTGACGTGGTTTAGTGAGTATAGAATAGTGTTTTGTTGTGATGGGTGATCAGGAGTGGTGAAAAATATGATGTAGGAATTTAAATTAGGTCTGGCATGGGCCAAACCTAGGTTTAGTAACATACATAAGAATTGTCTGTCAGTTGTATTGTCTTAAATAAAGCTTTGAATATTCAACCTTTAGGTAAGTGTTGAACACAGTTAATTATTTTGCTGAGCCACCAGAGACAAACAGATCAGTCTTGTCTGACTTTCTGAAAAGATACCTTTTAATGCCAGTTTATGTTATATTAAAATTCTTAATAATTTGACTCTGCAGGATTCCTTTATTTCAGTCCAGAGAAGTTCTCAAGGACCACTGCTTGGAGAAGACTAGTAGTCTAGAAATCAGTATACTAATTTAATAGGCCCATAGCCCTAATATTTTGAAGTAAGATCAGTCATATAGATCTGACATTCTGATTACTGTCTTTTAATTTTCCTCTGTGTTCCAACACAATTTTAGCTGCTGTGTAATCAACTGATAGATAAGAATTCAGGGCACTATTTTTGGAAATTGATGCCTAGATTTAGGCTCTGAAACTGCTGTCTGGTGAACTGAAGGGTCTGAAGCGTCATCTTATGTAAAGAACATAAAACTATGTCATCTGAGTTACCTTCTGGGAAAAGGAGGTTTCAGAGTGACTTTCTGGGATGAAGGTTTGTTAACCTTTTGTTCTTGGGCACTAAATGCTGGTGACTTGTCCATCTGAGACAAGCCAGAGAAATGCCATGCAGAAAATGTTTTGGGGTTTTTTTTTTGGTGGCTTGGTTTTTTTACCACCCTTCATTCATCCCCCATCATACCCCTTGATCCCCTCTCTGGTGGCGTGTCTAGTTAACAATAAAAATCTGGGTTTCCTTGTTTGTTTGCTTTTAAAAAGAAAGAGATTATAGCTTTTTTCCCTGACTTATTGTTTTATCGGGGATTTTGATGCTGTTTGCACTGCTTTTTCCAGTTGGTCTGGTGGCATCTCCAGATGGAAGAGTAGGGTCAGAGCAGCTGAAGCATTGCAGAGTCAGAGCAGTAGGGTAACAGATGGGTGAATGCTTTATAAATGCTTCTAAACGATGTTAGAACCTTTTAAATGATGATGGAACCTTCTAAATACTTTTCCTAAGAGCCCAGTAAGAACAGTGTTTTGGAGGTATCGATACTTACTGTAGAGGCAAGCCTTGGCTTACCCTCCATTTTGAGAATTACTGGTAAAGTTTTACTCCAGTGTCACTGGCATACGACACTCCTGCTCTTGAGGTGGTCCCTAAGAAGAGGCAACAGTTGAGGTTTTCTTCTCTGCTTAGTGTTTGTGAGTGTCCTGAACTGGTCACCAGTGTGCAGTCAGTCTTAATAGGGATGTAAATCCTAGTAAATGCCGTTAACCTCATGATTGCATAGGCTTGCTTTAAGCTGACAGGCGTCATTTTATAATAAAGCTCAGGTGCAAGTTTTCCATTAATGAAGTATGACTGATGAGGGTACGATACAGGCAACAAGCTCAGTTGAAGAGCTGGAGAAGAAATCTAGGGTTGCTGTGCTCCTCTTTGCATTGATGACTTACTTAGCTTGTCTTCTCGAGAAAATATAGCACTTAATTCAAGAGTGACATTTTAAATTGACGTAAGTGTGCTTGTGCAAAAAGCTGCGTGGATTTTTAGGCGATATGGTCTAAAACAGTTACGTGACTGCCTTTGGCGCTGTTGAGTTATGGTTTGCCCTCAGCCCAGCCAATTTTGCATGAAATGTTAGATTAAGCTGCTGCGTAGCTTTACACGCGTGAACGTGATCAGTCAACGTCCCCGTTACTGACGGGCAGCTTCCTGAGTAGCCACAGAGGCTCAAGTGTTCTTCAGTCATATCCTGAGTTTAGTTTATCCCACATGCATTGGGAAATCTCTTAGCTGAAATATTCCCTTCCTTATTAGTGAAGGAAGTGATAATACAATATTTATCTGAAGTTTTTCTAAATCTGGCTTTTTTTTTTCTTTTTGCTAAACTGGTGCAACTTCTGCAGGTAGTCATGCCTGGATGCTTATCTGTCGATTTCCCTCCCTCAATAGAAATACAAATTAAAGACTTGTTTAACCATACAGAACAGAAGCTAATAGAAAGAAGCATGTACAAAGATTCATTCTTAATTAAGTCAAGGGGAGGGACAACAATGGAGCTACACAAGGCAGCTTTGCGTCAATCACCAAGTGGCAAAGGGTCTGTTTGAAAGAGCTGTCGATAATCAGTAGGTGTGCTGTATCTGCTCTGGGTTACGTTAAACATTGCCATTTCACTGCCACTTCCTCCTCAGCACGCCCACCAACCCCTTTGTTCCTACAACCTGTTAGTCTTGTTATCTGCTGAAGTCCTAATCTCCTTCAGGCAGGAACTTTCTCGTATTAGATGTTTGTGCAATGTCTAGCACAGTGGAGTCTTGATCCTTTCTTGAAATTTCTCCATTCTGCTGTAAACCAAGCAGCAGTAATGTCAAAGATAAGCTTCTGTCTGCGCTAAGAGTTTATCAAATGTTCTTTGTTTTGGGGAAAAAAAAAATCAGCAGAAGAAACCAGCATTAAATGGAAAAACCTGGCAGATGATCTCTCAGTGCATTAACGGTAGTTCTTGAAATGTTTCAACTCCCTCTTGGAAATGAACCTAATTCTGCCTTGCAGTTCTTTAGACATACTGACTTTGCAGATTGTGCTCTATACACAAGTATCTATTCAGACTTAGACATCTTCTGTGAAATTATATCTCTTTTAAGCTTAACTTTTTTTTTCTCTTTTTCAGTCGTTTTCGATGTGTACAGAGACAGCAGGGTAAGTGAACAGTAGATTGTATATAATTGTTAATTCTGTGGAAAATTCCTGAAATGCTACAGAGTTGAAGCAAATAATATCTTCATCTTCCTAGAAGTGGTCCTGCCAAAAAACCATAACAAAAACAAAACTCAAAAAGTTACTTGATGTTCTCATTCTGTTCCCTGGATCTTTTTCTGTGTTAGACACCGTCCACAGTAGGAGAATAATAGGATTCGAGGTGTACATATGTCTGTGCCAGTGACGTAATTATTTAGTAAATATTCTCCAGAGAAGTAGCCTGTCTTAAAGCACATAACTTTGGCTTCAGCTGCAATTCTGTCAGTTCTATGAGTCTACTGAAGGCAATTTAGTTTTATTCTAAGATAAGTACTTTATCAATATCATGCAACATCATTAAATCATTTTAGCAAAGCACTACCTGTTGCTAAGGTTCCCTCCCCATAGTGCTCCCTTTGTGTTGACAGAAATGTATCTGAACATTCAGACAGAATTGTTGGGATATTTAAAAAAATGAGGCAGGGGTGCTATTTTGCTCACTGAAAAGAATTTGGAGGATTCTTACTATATTTTCTTCCAAAAATAATTCCTTGGCTTTTTTTATCCTGTGAAGATTGCCCCTATAGCATCTGAACTCATCAAAACTAATCATTAATATTTCTACAGACTATCCTTGTGAGGTTGGAAAATGATAACTTCTACTTCATTTATGGAAGTCTACAGTACGAAGGGATAATTATCAAAGGAGTATATGAATGTGGTGTGCCCACTTTGAGACAGATGGAGGCTAATTTTTTTCTCTTCAAACTGCTCCGGCTGTGGTTCTGAGTGCTTGGCAGATCAGAATCCCAAGCATCCAGGTAGTGATGGAGTGGGGAGAAATGTCCCATCTGAACTTCAGGTGCCAATATCTGAGTTAGTCACATTTGACGTTTCCTAGTATCAGTGAGAGAAATAGTTCAGATGAATTGTGCTTGAAAGGCACATATGTATTGTTTTAAAAGCAACCACAAACAAAAAAGCATTATTGTTGTCTTAAATCTCAAGACCTGATTATGGAGTCACAACCTGATTTTTGGGAATCGCATTAGTGCATGAGAAGTAAGGCTTTGGTTTAGCCTAAATTTCTTTCCAGATCCTAAACCAGAAATGCAAAAAAATGGCTACGTACTTTTGTTATATACATTTGAGTCTTGCTGTTTGGCTTGTTTGCAGTTATGGGATTGGAGAAGCTCTTTATTGGAGTTGAGTTGGGAGTATTTGTAGTAAGTCCTGATTTTGACTTTGAATGTTGCTAAAGTATTTTGGAATTTTGTAATAGTACATCATGCCATAGTTGGCAAAACAGAAACTAAATGGGAATGTGTGTCATGTGGAAAATAACTATTGTACTGTTACTCAGCGCAACTTTTAACGTAGGTACCTCAAATCAGGCTACAGGCTAAAAACAGCCATGCTGAATGGTAATAAAAATTACCTGCCCAGGCTCAGATTGTCAGACTTGAGGATGCTGTCAGGCAAAATGAGGAGAAACAGTTCAACATTAAACGCAGTTCTGTGGTTGGGTACTCTGCCTTACAACTGAGGCATGAAGACAGATTATTTAAGTAAAAAAAATTCAGCCTGTGTGATCTCAAATGAGCAGTGTTTCTTCATCTGTCAAGATAAAATACATCTGTTTGTAGATATCTCTGGTGCCTTCTACCCTCTGGTCTTGTAAACTGCCAGATAGCCCTTTGTGTGTCAGATCCTCCTCCTTTCACACATACTTTTGTGGTTGGCAACTGTATTATTCATTGCTCCCTTTGTATGTGAGTTATAGGCAGCAAAAGAGTATTGAGCGTGATTAATTTCCAGAGCCCATGTTCCTCATCAGGCTGGTTGCACGGCAACCTCACCTACAGAATGAGAGAAGTGTCCAGCGTCTGCTTATTTTAAGTTTTTTCAACTGTAAATACTCAGCTAGGAGAAGCTTGTTCTTTGATATGGTTGTGACTGAGAGCAACCCCCTCCCCGTGCTTGCTTTAGTTACTTGACTGTGTGGAGTAGGCTGCCACAGGTCCTGCCTGTTGAGTTGGAGGGTGGCATATAAGCAAGCAGTGGCCTGGTTGAGAGCAAGCTTTTATGTGTCTGCCTTTCCTGTTAGACTCTCTTCACTGAGCTCATCTGAGCTAGCGCCTGACTTGGCAGACAAGTCATTTTTTAAGGAAGAAAATACATGTCATACAGTCTACCAAGCTGGATGATCTGGAGACCTAGCTCTAAAGAGGTTATGATGCCGGACTGGTAGCCTGGTTTCATTTGGATCCACTTTTTTCCTTTTTTTTTTTCTCTGCTAGCAGTTCACAATCATTGTGCAACAGCTGACAAGCCTGAGAATCAGCTCTGCTGTTGCTCTTTGTGTATCTCCCAGGTGTTAACCATGTTCAAGACAAGTCACTGTGGTAAGACAGAAATGCAGTGAGTGGCTCCAGACCACTGCTAGCTCACAGCTGCTTTTATTAACATGCAAACTAGTGCTTGTGTCTCTGCCTTGTGTGCATTGTCAGTGTGTCTGAAGGTGCAGCTGGAGTTAGGGAGATGGAACAGTTCAGTTTGCATTTTATCTATCTTTTAACTTCCTTTAAACAGACTTTTTCATAGGCACTTCCTTTCAGCAGCATGTTGCATAATACTTTAGAGTAAAACAAAGTGTGAACCTGACATGGTATAGTAAATCTATTGGTTCCTGTTTTAGGATGAGAAAAAAATCTTATGTAATACAGGTGGTGTTTTTTTTCCCCTCCAGATATGCACAACTTTGCTTTCCTGGCTTGTGCATTTCTGTGCTCTCCTATGACAAAGATTACTAATACCAGAAGATGGCAGATAAATAGCTTTGCTACTGCTCTTTAGCTGTGTGGTGCAAGTCATCTGAAACTACATTTAGATCATGATATTGTAGGTAAGACTTGAGAGAGCATTTAATCGTCAGAAAAGACAGTTTGGTTACTGACCCAGAATTACATACACTCTCTTTAATGAGCTCTGAAAGGGATATTTAGTTTGTTTTGCCAGTTGTCATCAATTTGCAGCTACCAAAGCTCAGTGCAGATTTAAGACCATCTCAAGGAAACGGTGGTGTAGATGGTGTCCTGCTTGTGTAGATGGTGACTGCTGTCTGCAGGGCGGGAGAAATACTGGTGGCAAAGCTCACTGCAGATTTAAGACCATCTCAAGGAAACAGTTGGTGGTGTAGATGGTGTCCTGCTTGTGTAGATGGTGACTGCTGTCTGCAGGGCGGGAGAAATACTGGTGGGTGCTCACAAAAAACAGGTGTTGCTTTCAGTAGTCTCAAAACCAATTTTCAGTTTTTTCCAGGGTACATTCCTTCTCCAGAGAAATGATCTTGAGTTCCTATGAAAAAACCTGAGTTTTGTGTATTTGGGGCGAGGAGGAGTCTCTGTGAAAGCCTTTCATAGGGAAGTTTTTATTAAGTATAAACATTTCTGATACAAGGAAAGATTCTCTGAACTGCTGAACGACCTTTGCCAGCAGTTGCTTCTCTCTACGATTAAATTGGTTCATTAGCTTGTTTTTCTAGTGTGACAGAATGAATCTAAAATTACAGATTCCTTCTCCTGCTGCCTTGGAGCTAACAAGATGTCCCCATTAGCAAAAGTAAAACGTCACTTATAATGAGAATTTGTGACTGCCTTTTGAAGAGGAACAGAGATGGAAAATGATAGCAGAGCTTGCCCCTGTTCGCTGTCTGCACCAGTGGTGTCAATATGAGTGCAGAGGTGTTGCAACTTAGCAATGCAGGTTTGTGCTTCTTCACCCTTCCGAAACAAGTAAGAAACCACTCAGGTCCCCACAATTCACAGTTTCTATTGTAGCCGTCTGGTTTTGGTACTGCTGTTGTCATGCATTGGCTTCTTAAAATTTACTCTGCAAGAGCTGTACCCCATGGATCTGCCCTGAGAGAGACCGACCTGTGAAAGCCTGCACGGAACCACATGCTCATTGGTTGGGGTGCTGGCCTAGTTCCAGTTTACAAGTAGTATCACTGGTTTCATCTGTGCTGGAACTCCCCCCACCTGCATGAGTAACTCGCTATGGATGATAACGGACCAGCCAGAGCATTTCTGTTCTCTACTGTATGGGTTTCCGTGCGTTTCCTATTCTACAGTGTGTTAGTGCCTGTGAGGGGGTGTCTTAGGCAGTGTGGGTGAGAGAGGAAGTCTCCACGTTACTCTGACTGAAGGCTTCAAAAGCATCTTTGTAAGCTAGAAACCAGATGGCTGTAGTGTAAATGACTGAAGATATTTGCTGTTTGTATCAGGATAGGAAGGATCCTTTAAAGAAAGAAGATCCTTCAGGAATGAGAGAAAGAAAGAGAAAGCAAAATAAGTTTTTAGTAGCTGTATGCCTTTAGGTTTGGTTTCCAATTCCAGCTGATCTTTAATAAACACAATAAAACCCTTCAGTCATGCTTATGTTACAGCAACCTTTTTTAATCCATATTTGATAGACCTGATTACCAGTTGTATTCTTATTTCATTACAACTTTATTATAATGTTTTGTTTTATTAGGGTAGATGATACTTTCTTGGGTTAGAAAAGCCGATTCTGTGCTGGGGGTTATGCCTTGAGATGACTCAAGGAGCACAAACTATTTCTTGCTCCACCGCCACCATCTCAGTTAACCTTAAGTCATGTTAGTCTCTCTGCTTTAATTTTTCACTTATAAAACAGGCATGCTGTTGTGTGTACTACCAGAACTGCTTGGAACACAAATGTATTAAAGATGAGACAGGAGAAGCTAGCCTGGACTACTAGTAATGGCTATATTAAAAATGCCTTAAATCATTGGGGTTTTTTTTGTTGTGGGTTTGTGTTTTTTTTTTTCATTCCTTGTTCATGATGTCTGGGGATCTTGGAGAACCATGGGGATTAGGCAGAACTTCTGTGGTCTTATCTGAAAGCATCTTGTATAGAACTGAATTCAGTTTATTTGATCTGATCTTCTGTTAAAAAATAAATAAATAACTTAGTCATCGCTTGCTGTGTTTCAAAACTGTGTCTAATGTAAAGGATGTTAGAATAGTTTAAGTGCTTAAAACCAGGTGGTTTTCAATTTTGACATCTTTTTATCTAAAGCCCAAGCATACTACAGTAATATATGTGTATTTTGATACTTTTTTTTTTTTTAGTTCTGTGGCTTGTTTTAATTCTTCTGTTGTTCCATTTCAGGGTAAGATTTGGTTAATAGATTTCAACCCGTTTGGTGAAGTAACAGACTCCCTCCTGTTTACCTGGGAAGAACTGACCTCAGGGAGAAACTTGAAAGGAGACCAGGGTGAAGGGGAAGCAATAGAACAGGTACAGCCCTACTGTGAGGGAGGCTGGCTAACAAAACCAACAGGCATTATGGCCTGTTTTTTCTTTTCTTTCTTTGTTATAATCAAATTGTGATGCAAATCCCACTGAAGTAAATGGCTGTATTTAACTCATGTTGCAATTAACTACTGTCTAGTTTACGTTACGAGTATCGCATGCTAGTTTTAGATGCCTGCAAGGGAATTTTTAGTTCAAACAGTACAAGCCCATATTGCAGCTTTGACCATGTTGTGAATAAGATGCCCTGAAACTTGCTTTTATGCAGGTTTGATGTGCTCTTTTCAATTTCTCTTAAAATCTCTTACTTTTCTATTTAATCACTTGAAATTCTGCTTTGTTCTTGACATCTGTCATACAGTCTCCCAGAGCACCAGATTTATGTTTGGGGGCAGGCAAAAAGAAGCTTCACTTCTGTCTCTTCCTCATACCGAATACCCTCAGGGAAGCCTTGTCCTTTGGTTGAACTCTCAGGCCTTGCAGAGCAGGACTCTTCTATCTCTCTTCCAAGCTGCATTGCCTCCATAAAACCAAATAAATTCCCGTTACTACGGAGAGGGAGGAATAGTCTTCGCTTATTTGTACTCCAACTTTTTTCTCACTGCATGCCTGAGACCGAGTCCTCGCATCTTAACAAGTCCTTGGGCGACTGGGTAGAAGATATGAAGTAGCATGTTACTTGATCTTGGAAAACACTTGGTAGTTGTCTGAGGAGAGATGGCTAGGCAGAATAGTGTGGGGTTTTCTTTATTTTCTAGCTGTTAAACTGCATTAGAGGTATCTGAAATGATGTGCTTTCTTCAGCTGAATTTAACATTTGAGCAGTGCTTTAGTTCTGTTGCCATTTTCATAACAGATTGAAAGGGAAATACACCACTCTGCAGGCTATCATTCATGCCATTTTCTCTTAGTCTGGCTGTGCGGCTATTGCTGAATGAAAACCCATTCAGTGAATCTTCCTGCTAAAAGCTGTGTCTCCTTTGTCAAAACACACTCCCTATTCCTGAGCTGCCTGTGAGACACCTGAATTTTGTTTTGAGGATTTCTTTTCAGTACCAGATGCTTTACACAGTTTTCTCTAGTGTAAGCCTGGATGAAAACTAGAATGACTTGTCTTCATGCTTCAGCTTACATCCGATCACAGAATCTGGTGTGAAGTTACTGAGCTTCTGTCTTTAAAACGAAGCTGATGATTGCCATACAGTGGGCAATTATGTTGCATGGCAGTGTGTTGAACTGAAAATTATATCACCTTACCCAAAATCTGTTGCTACAATTGAGCATATAGATATTTTTTTTTTTCCTTCAGTAAGTAAACTGGTTGGAAAACTTAAATCATAATTTCAGTAAGGTTAGATTTGCAAACATGGATTTGAACATGGAACCTGTGAAGACGGGTTTAGGGATTCTATTGTGAAGATTTTCTTTATCCACATGTTTATGTAGATAGTATTTCTCAAAGTTCCTTATAGCTCCATTATTACAGCACTGTTATAAGCATATGTATATTAAATGCATTAATAATTGATACATTGTAGAAACTGTAAACTGAGGGAATGAATGCCTCTACTTGACTGCTATTAACATTTTAACTTTTGCTCTTAAGTGGGCAGAGTTTTTAATAAGAAAAGTACAATTTTTAGAAGGCGCAGGTTTAGTTGAATGAATGCCGAATAAACTCATTGGCAAAGTGACTCAGACAATCTCATGGAGGAGTTCAAGAAATATTGCTAGCTTTATTCTCGTATATTGTTCTTCTCTTATCCAATATCTTTTTCCAAAGGACTATCCAGTTTTCCGTTGTACGAACAGTAAAGTTACTGTCCAGCCTAGTCCATACCTGAGTTACCGACTGCCGAAAGATTTTGTGGACCTTTCTACAGGAGAGGATGTTCACAAATTAATTGATTTTCTTAAACTGGTAAGAAGTAGTGAAAAAAAATTTCTGACCTTCCACCTCTTTGAAATGGCAACATCAAAGTGCCTGGACTTGTGCTTTTGTAGTTAACATAGGTTATATAATTACAGAAAAAGTCATGTATGAAGCCATCATACAACATGTTGTTGAGTTGGTTTATAATTTTTTTTTTAAGTGATGAAGAGCAAGCTTTCATACTGATGTCACTTCAGTTAGTTTTATCTTTAGTGGAAGCAATGAATGTAGTTTGACAAATCTTACTGAAGGACCTAGCTGTTTTATTTCTTATTTAAATGTAAATACAAATGTAGTCTAAATGGAAATATATTTTTTGAATGACTGAAGCTAATGCTTTTAAGAACTTCTTTAAAAGTCAGAAGTATATTGGAAAAAAAACTTAAACGCTTGGTCCTTTTTAAAAACAATTTCTTTGTTCCTTTGATAACAGTGACATGAAAACATGACATCCTTGTAAGCTAGGGATGGGAGAGCAGATTGCCTTCATCTAGACCACTGACTTCTGCCACCACCATCATGTTTTCTGGTTCTCGTATAGTCTATTGGCTAATGTACGGGGCAAATCTTGGTCTTTACTGGAAATAAAATCCTATAGTTTGGGATGGGGGAGAGGGTTGATGTTGCTCACTTCCATTTGCTGGAAACATCTCTTACCATTCAAAAAATGAATTACAAATGCAGTAATTCTCTAATATCTATTGTATCTGGAAACATTTGTCATGATTTATTAGTGTTCTCATTTCAGACAACTGTGTCCTAACATTATGAACTTTCCTGTTCCATTGACAGAAAAGAAATCAGCAAGATGATGACTGAGGTATCAAGAAGCGTTACATTGAATTACAAGCAAGAAATGTGGCAAAAGCTATAATTAACATAACTATTAAGCTATCGATTTAAAGGAAACCTGCTTTTCATAGTCAATGAAAGAACTGAAGAGCTGTTCATCCTGTGTGTCTGTTGGTTTATATGAAAGTGTAGAAAAGCTTTTTCAGGGAAACATGAAAGGTCAGGGTGAGTTCTCACTGGATTCCAGGTTAAATGCAATTGTACCATGGTGCAAGCTAGCAACAATCTGAGTGCAAGTGAATGACTGCTTTCCTGTCTCATAATGTGAAGATTGATGCCATTGAAGTATGCCATTGGAACCTTCAGTGACAAATAGGACAACATTTAATGCTTGTGCAGTTAAAACCTCAAACCTTCTCTGAATTTAGGCACAGTCTTGCTTAAAATATAGTATAGTTGCAAGGAAAGGAATGTATGTTTTCTTCCATAGTAACCTTTTAAAATTGTAAATTGAATTTGTTTTGGGAGCACTCCTCATCCTTCCTTTATGTAAAAAAAAAGAAAAGGAAAAAAAAGTGAAGAAGGGATATGAGAGCTAATGCTTCATTACCAAGAACAGCTATAGTAGACAACTTCAGATTTGAAAATTTTGCATTTCAGGAGTCTGAAATTCTGAATGCATTTCAAGTAAAGTAATATTTTCTCAGTAGCTAAAGCTATGAAATTTGTTAAACTTCACCAAATTTCATTTCATTCTCATAGTAAAGCTTTCTTGAAACTTATTTTTTAATATGATTACATACCAGACATCATCTGTGGCTTTAATATAAATAGTTAAACATAACATCAACCTGTGATTTTTATATGTGGACTCAGTCTTGTTTCTTTCATATCACATCTCTGAGTTTCTTACGAAACTTATTACTGTCACAGTTCTTAAAATTCTGTATTCATTTGGTACTTCTTGTTTTTCATATAAAAGGAAGCTTGACTAAATTTGGGGAAACAGAAGCTCTTGATACCGCTTGCTGTTATCGCAGGGGCTGGGGGGACAGACACAATTTCAGAGGAAGAACCAAATAACTTGGGTATAGGTGTTCGCATGGCATCAGTAATTTGTTAACAGTGTGCACAAGCGCTGTTGAAATGAAAGGACATTTGGAGGTGCTCATAGCCCCTGGAAATTGGTTCCTATTTCAAACCAGTTATGTGATATTTTATGTGTGTTTATAAAGCCGTTCATGTTTCTTTGTCTTGCTTTTGCTGTCAAATTGATACGTGTTCGGTTACAATCTGGTCTCAGATGTTAAATCTGAGCATAGATGTTATACTTACTGGCTTTATTTAGCTTCAGTTTTGAATGAATACTTACTCTAGTTAAAGATTATGCAGATTAAGAATCCAGTTCTACCAAATACCATGTTGAAACATCACAGATTAAAGGTCCTGGAGTCTGAGAGTACAGGATGTGCCCTACCCTTGAAGTAATGGAATCTCCTTCTCAACAGTTTTTTGTACACAAATTAGATGGTCATTAACTCAGAGCTGGGCTATACCTATCCTGCCATACTGCAGGACATTGTATTTTTTCTCTCACCTTTATCAGAGGGATTATTTGAGTATAAAAGCCTCTAAATCAAGTAGGAGCTTCAAAACATAAAAAATCAACAAATCTTTCCTTTTTCTTTTTAAAGTTTCTAGACATAACTTTATTGCGATGATCTAACCACAATTCCTTTACAACAGAGATAATGCCCTCAAATTTCCAACAGATTCATAAATGCTTCTGAACTACAGAGTCTTTTAAAAATACCAATTCTTCATTTAAAGCTGTAAGATAGTTTTCCTGCATCTTTTCTGTGGGCTCCACTAGTTAATTTACCATTATGACAGCTTTCTGTACTGGATATTCACGAGAACATATATGGTGTCAGGACCAGTTTGACATTCTGTCAAAGCATTCAGTCTGTGCATTCTGGAGTGTCCCTTTAGGTGAGTAGGCTGGAGTGGTAGCCTTTGAACAGACCTTTGCTTCTTGACTTTATTATTTATCCTGAAAATGGCAGCCCCAAGTGACCAGATCTGCTGCTCATAATCAGTGCAGAGCTCCTAGACTTACTGGCAGCTTCCATATGTTTGCAAGAACTGCAGTCTTCTGTGGGTGCTCTGCATTTATAGTTGAGCTCTTCTAGGACAAATCTCACTGGAATTGGACACTGACCCAGCACCTGGCTCCTTAAACAGCTTTGCCTGTTTCTAGCCTTGTGCTGGTCCTCTAGTTAAAGGACCACCATAATAACATGCCGTGCCGCTCCTCTCTCCTACCCAGTGCCCTCTGGCACAACCTACCCCTCCATCCCTCATCAGCTTCAACAACTGTTTAACATACTCAAAAGACTTTTCTTTATAGTTGTGTGCTAGTGATAAGTGGATTCAAAGTTTGGTTTTCTCCCCTATGTTTTGTGAGCACATTACCGATCTGAATTACTGGCCTGCTCAGCCAAGCTATCGAACACTGATAACTAACTTTTTATTTCAGAGTTGCAGGGACTTACGCCACTTTCTCTGGGCTTAGTGTTAATGAAGACCATAAAAGGTAGCAGAGCAAAAATACTAGTCCCATGTTCAGGTCCTGATACAGAAAGAGCCCCCACTATAAAAATCTGTTCTACATAATCAGATTCCCCCAAATATCATATCCTTACAATTTAAATACATACTTTATATTTACTTTGCTTCTTTCTCCAGCTTCAGGTAACCAGATGTTGATTTTTTTTTTTCTTTTTTGGTCTCCTACTTTTTAAAGATTCTTCTTTTTTTAAAAGAATTTTCATCCCATATGACCTTTTGATCTGCGGGGATAATTAACAAACATATTCCACCTGGGGAGGTGAGGAAGCTAATGTTGCTACATTAAAAATGCTTCAGATCAGTTTTAAACTGAATAGTATATGACACTTAATTCTCTTTTGGGTCATCATAAAATCAGTCTCTGCCTCTGGCCATCATACAGAAATTTGAAAATAAAAAATTCCAATTGTTCAGGCCCTTGTTCATGTGATTTAATGATGTGATTGCCATTCACTGAGTAAGGATTAACGATACACTATATATTCTTACTTATGTGCTTAAAACATCATGTAAAGATGTTTGTAATTTCACCTGGATAACAAACATAAGAAGTTTTAGAGTGAGGTAGCATGCAATCATTTTATACAGATGCTTGCCAAACTGCATCCTGTTACAAAGTCTGGCTACGTCTAATGACTCAAGTGTAGCGAGGCTCAGTTCTTGGAGTGCGGCTCTGCCAGAAGCGCCAAAGAAAAGTCTTCATTGTTTCTCAGCCAATGCCTGTGATATTTGATCTCTGAGATGGTTGGTGGGGATCAGGATTCCAGTAACCCCATATGTAAAAATTATTAATATGTACTGGCTTAGATCAGGATTTGGAATAATGCTCCTGTATTTCTGGGCTGCAGACTGTCCATTCTGTTTGTACTCCTTTGACTCTTCTTTTTCCAATGTTGTCCTCATCTTTCTTGACCCACCAATCTCACAGTTGGGTGAAGGTTAACATTAAAATAAGCAGCAGCATGGATAATAGTGATACGAATTTTGAAACCCCTCTCTGTCAACTTCCTCCCTCCCTCTTAGAGATTTTTTTTTTTTTTTTTGAGTGGTGCTCTATAATATCAGAAAAAAACTCCTAAAAGTAGGGCAATAATAGCCAGCTCTGAGTCTCAGTAAAATGAATACCACTTGTTGCATTCTGGTCACAGTGTATGGCTTGGAAAAAATCCCAACTGAATAGAAGTTTCATGTATCTCATTCTTACGCACTCACCTGTTGCTGATGTCCAGGATGCAGTGCTGGCTGGAAAAATGTTACTCAGTGAGATGCAGTTCAGATGCCCGTTGAAGCAATATAGAGCATCAGACAAAACTGTCGTGGTTTCAGGCTTTCAGGAGAGTGTTGCCAGATGAAAGGATTCCAAAATAGATCGGTGTTAGTGTGGAGATGGGTAATAGTGTGGCACCAAACCTCTGTAAAATTACTTCTGGTACCTTTGTGCACAACTGAGTTACATTAGCTTTCACACACTGTCCCAAATCTGAAGTGTCAAATAGCGGAAGAAGTGTCTGTTAGTGAGTACAAATAGGCAAATCAGCTTGGCAACTGGTAAATAATTTCAACCTTAGAGGCCAAGGCTATACAACTCAGGTTGTGTTTGGATAGCAAGTCTATCACTTCAAGAAATAATAATGAACTAAAATATGTATCTCAGCCAAGAGAAGATGAGCCCTAAAGTGTCATACAGAAACAGACCATAGTGCTTTCCATTCATGATAGATAGTGGGCAATACTGATATTTAGAGGCTTAATAAATCTGTCTTAACAGAAGTTTGCCTGGATGTTGAATTAACAGTATCTTTGTTTCTGTTTGAATTTGATGACCTCTGTAAAGAGAAAGTTGCCAACTTGTGGTCATCCTGAAATTATACAGAATTAAAATAAGACTTGTTGCTGTAACTGGGATATTTTGTGCAGACCTGAAGCTCTCTCAAAGGTGCGGAGTCCTTGGGCAGTACTGCATGATTCTAGATTTTTATAGTAATAAAGACATCAGCAGTGCGGTAGGAGTGGGCTTTTTTGGGGCGGGGAGGGGACACCTGCTATATTTCTGTCTGTGAGCTATTGTAGCAATGTACTCCCTGGGTACTAGAGTGTTTTGGCTGCTCTAAGGCCCTCTTGATAGCTGACCAGGCTTCTTCCAGTGATGTGTTTTGGCAGGGTCTAGGGAAAGGTTGGTTGGCTGGTCGCTCAGAAATGCTGACTTCTCAGATCCTTTCTCTGTGGAAGCATGCTAGTTACAAATAAGCTTTCAGGAGAGATTTGTGACTCCTAAACAGCATTTCTAGCCAAGAGAAAGAAAAGAATCAATACTTGTTATTTCTAGTCTTTAGGACTCAAATCCAGATGGTGGAGGGGCTTGAAATTTGGTTTCTGTCTTAGCTTCTGCTATGAAG